TTCTCCAAAGTGAATGAGTATCAAAGACGCCCACCGTGTCTAATCAAGCACTGAGATATAGTCCTGTGGCGCGCAGTGTGACGGAGGCGCGGCTCTATTCTTTTTCTCTGCGTATTTATATTAGGAAGTTTGTCGCTCGCTTATCCGTCTCCCTTTCCGCCAGAATGACTCCAGATTGATTAAGGACTTACTTTTGTTTTGTTTTTGTTTTTTACCTTTCTCTACTTTTAGCCGCTTGGGCAGTCGGTCACGTCTCTGGTACGCACTATTGGCAAGTTCTGGTTTTTTTTTTCGTTAACTAACATGTACGACTGTGGTCAGTATACCGCTAGCTCCAGGTATGAACACTTGACTGAGTAATGCCCTCTGAGATGTTTATAAACTGCAATTAAGTCACCCCTGACCCGCCTAGAATATAAGCTATGTAATTGCCGTAGTGCAGGCACCAGTCTGGGCCCCACTTTTGGACCCCTAAAGATCCTGTTCTGTAAATGCCTGGATGAGCAACAGGTTCCCAGTGATTGGAAAATAGCTTATGTGAGTCCAATCTTTAAGATGGACGATCATCACTCCACGAATAACTATAGACTAGTGAGTCTAACCAGCATAGTATGTAAAGTACTTGCGAGCATTATAAGAGATGCCATGAGGAAACATCTACTACGAAACAACCTGTAAAGGATTGCCATCACGGTTTTCTTTTCTTTTTCTTTTATCCTCTTCACCACTGATCGGCTCATTAGCCGCTTGGGCGATCGGTCACGTCTCTGATTACTGTTCCTTTTCTTTTATCCTCTTCACCAAAAGATCGGCTCGCTAGCCGCCCGGGCGATCGGTCACGTCTCTGTCACGCACTGTTGGCAAGTAATGGGCATGCACTGGCTCCTGAGTGTGTCTGAACCTGCCCCAGTCTGGTCTTTAAAGAACTCACACTCGGTGCTGTCACAACACTATCTGGCAGATTGTTCCAAGAGTTCACAATTCTCACCCCGAAAAGGTTACTGCTCACAGTTTTCTGGGCTTGCGGCTTCTTCAACCTTGAACTGTGACCTCTCGTGGGGCGAGCGTCCGCCTTGTCCACTATGCCTTCCTCACTCTAATGCCACAGCTGAAATATTTTTTTCAGTTGTTGATGGTACACAGCTGTAACGGCCGTATCTTTCAATTATGTGTCAAGGGTTCAACCCCTGCCCGGACGCACATGATAAGGGTGTTATCAATGTGACCTTACCAGACACTACAGGGTCTCAGGATTTTCCTCCTGTGCTAACACTGGATAGACCAGCAGCTCGAACGATAATAAGCTGATAAGTAGTGAAAATAATAAATAAATAAGAAAATCTAAAAAAAATGGAACAGATTGCCAACCAAGACACAAGTTGGAATACTCCACTCAAAGGGTTATTTAAGAAATAATCCTTGTTTCAGTCTTTCTGTTAGTGAACTCATATGTATAATGCAACTGATTCTGACTAGTGCAATGAAGGTTTTGTGTTGATGTAATAGTGAAATGTAACTTTGCCTAAAGGAAATTAACTTGAAATTTTACATTTCGTCTGTTAATATCTTAATCTTTCTTTAAACTTCACCCTTATATATATTTTTCAGGCTACTGTACTTACAAATAAATTACTGATGTAAATATGAAGTGTCTTTCAATCTCATCCCGATTCACAAAATTATATTATACTGTATTTTTTTTTTTACTATTGCTGTACTACATGTTGGATGCTTTATCCTTTCAGTAATTGTCGTTCTTCGTTGAAATATTAAGAGAAATATCGGAAATGGGGAATTTAGGGGAATTTTGCCTCTGGATTTGGGGAATTTTAGGTCACACCGTCTGACAACACTATGCCCAGTGCCCACAGACCTTGCCAACAATGCGTAACAGAAACGTGACCTACCGGATCAGCAGCGAAAATGATAAACGTAAAATAAGTATACCCGCTAAACTACTTGCAAACTTGTGTGGTCATTTTTATGGCCAATCTTTCTATCTATCTGAGTGGAAAGGGAAGATCCCGAAGAACCTATCATGTTTGGTAGGTCACAGGACTCCATTCTCACCCTCTACTTATTGGGCATCCACTCTACAAACTGAACTATTTGCCTTACTCACAACCTTGAAACTTGTTGAGAATGAAAACACTGTCACTGACAGTCATCATAAGTGACTCCTTATCACTACTTGCTCTTGATACCCTAACTCAGATTGTCACCACCTGAGATCCCTCGCCCGAAAATTGCTGTTCTACACCACAACCACATCCAGCCCATGCGAGCACGATAAAGATCTATATTAGAACAGCCCAGTCCCAACCATTGTAAAAATTATAAATAACTTGTAAGCGACCAGTGTATTCACTCCCAGTCAATCTTACTTTTTGCACTGTCACTATGTTGAAATGCCCTGTAGTTTGAGCTTCTCCCCACCTAGTTATTATATATCATATTTGTATCACTTATGTTACCTGTATATTATTTGTAAATCAAGAAACCCATTACCCAATTATGTAACTGTATATTTTCAGCCTTCCGGCTGCCATACTCTTTCAATAAACTGTTAATTATTATTATTATTATTATTATTAAGCCAGACAATTAAATGCCTTGTTGACAGGGGAATGGATCAAGTTGCTGTGGATCTCCTCTCTCATTGGCATCAGTGAACATGATCGAGTTGATGCCTTAGCTAAACTCGCGTCCAACAATTACAATGCTGAATACAATCTGGGACTGTCAAACAGAACCTTACAAATTAAAATCAGAAAAGAACTTGCTGATGAATCTGAAGCCAGTAGACAAATGCAAACAGGCACTAGTCAACCCATTGCTTACCATGATGAGATGTATCAAGTAAAACATGAATATAGAGCAAGCAACAAAGATCACTAGATTACAAGATGTGAACGCATGACTGACGTTAGGAAAAAGTACCTGGTATATGCCCCTCAAGCAGATGTGAACAAAACTAAATGTAGAGTGTGCAGCCAGACATATAATGTGGCCATATTATGGCCACACACATTCCAACACGACCAAGGTCGTATTTAAGGGAGGGGGCTGTAGATAGGAACCCCCCAAGGGTTTATAATCCTTGGAATCCCCCACCCCGAAATTTCAGCATATTTTTTTTATTTGGACGGCACCTCCACCCAAAGTACAGTAGGCCATATAAACTCTCATTTAGAAGGAGCGATGCCTACGTGTATCTTATTGTCGATGGAGGACACACTTATATGAGTAGGCTATATATTCTTATAGAATCCTTTAAACATCAAATATTCAATTGAATTCCAACATGGCTGCCAGTTCTGTACACTGGAGTATTTTATTACTTAAATTACAATTTTACCTTGAAAAATACATTGTAATTTGTGGGTATGAATTATTGTACACCAAATAATATAATCTAAATAGAGAGTGAAAGAGGTGTCTGACAGTCTTACAATATCATAGGTTTGTGGTGCATTTAAATAATTGAGCCTAAACGGCTAACGAGCCGTTACCAAACTTAGCTAAAGTAGCCTTAGTTACCTAAAGTTAACCTTTGTGTGTTTTGAATAAATATTGTAAAGTTTTAGGCATGCGATTAAATATGTTAAAAATCTAATTTAGACTCATTTATTTTGTCCCAGTTTAACATACTGTAAAGACAAATTCCAAGTTGGGTCTATGACCACTAAATTGGGCTGCTAGCAAGAACTTCCAGGGCAGGAACAGTGTTGCCATTTTAGCGGTTTTCCCGCTAAATCTAGATGCTTTGACCCACTATCTAGCGGGTAAATTTACTGTCTAGCTGCAAGCGGTTTTTTGCGGATTTAACTGATGTCTGGCAGATTTCTAGCGGTTTTAGTTATGTAATTATACTTGCATAAGTATAGACAGTCAGTGGAAGGATCTCAGTGGAATGAAGTTTCACAAACTGCCCTGTTTTGGAATGAAGTACAAAACTACATGGACGCATCACATTGTAATCCATTCAAGGAGTTGGCAGAGTTTACTTTATCAGTTCTCGTCATACACCACTATAATGCTGAAGTAGAAAGGATATTCAGCCAGTTAAATATAGTGAAAAATAAACTTCGAAACAGAATGGGAAAAAAATGGCTAATGCTCTTCTTGCAATACGAGCAGGTTTGAAAAAAAATGAAAAGTTTCGTTTTGAATATGAATTACCGGCTGATATCTTGAAATTGGTTGGAACTAGCAATGCATACGTCAGTGAACCGATCCTGAAGTCAACACCAAGAGCAAGTACATCTCGAGAGGAAACAGAGGTAGAAGAATTTGATGATTCCTCTCTCTTCCTGTTTTAAAGGTAGGCCATGCATATCCTTTGATATTACTTCTGTGACATTATGCCTATCGGTGGGTTAATTAGCTATATTTCTCTATACCATACTTTCTATATTTATCATTCTATACAGTTTTATATATATTAATCAGTTAAATTGTCTATATATCTATATGCGGTATATATAAATAGGGTAACACATGCTATATTATCTGTACAGTGACAATTTAGCGGGTTAGGGGTCAAATCTAGCGGGTTAGGGGTCAAATCTAGCGGGTTAGGGGTCAAATCTAGCGGGTTAGGGGTCAAATCTAGCGGGTTAGGGGTCAAATCTAGCGGGTTAGGGGTCATATTAGGGGTCATATCTAGCGGGTTAGTCAAATCTAGCGGGTTAGGGGTCAAATCTAGCGGGTTGGGTCCAAATCTAGCGGGTTAGGGTCAAATCTAGCGGGTTGGGTCAAATCTAGGGGTTAGGGGTCAAATCTAGCGGGTTAGGGTCAAATCTAGCGGGTCAAATCTAGGGGTAGGGGTCAAATCTAGCGGGTTTTGGAGTCAAATCTAGCAGGTTTTGTAGTCTCATATAGCGGGTTTTGGAGTCTCATATAGCGGGTTAGGGGTCAAATCTAGCGGGTTAGGGGTCAAATCTAGCGGGTTAGGGGTCAAATCTAGCGGGTTTTGGAGTCTCATATAGCATGGATGTAAATTTGTAGTTGGCAACACTGGGCACTAGTAAACAACAGCCAGCAAGAGGCAACAAGAAGTCGTCTCTCTTACCTTTTTCTTTCATAATTTACCGTTTTTACCGTTTAAATTTTTAGGCAATCACATTTAAAACCATGGCCGATCAAAGTAAAGGTAAGAAGCAACAAAGAAAACCAATTGTGATAGGAGTATTAGAATTTATTTTAGAATTTTGTTATACCTGTGTCATTATTATTCACTTGTTGCCACTAAATGAATCTCGGGAATTTTATAGTTGCAATCAGTAATTTTGACAATTATAAGACACTTTTCTTCAATAGTATTTCTGGCAAAAATTGTGTAAACGAGATATTTAACATTTTATTATGTATGTTCGTGTACGTGGTGGTACAGTGCATGTCCAGAACTTTGAATGACTATGGAGCTCCCCTGTTAGGTTAGGTTAGGTTAGGTTAAATTAGATTCAAAACTGTTTTTCCAATAGTTTTAATGTGCTTACTTTTATCCTCTTCGCCATTGATCTCTACATTCTGAGATGGAAGGAGGGGTTTATCTCAGTAACTATTGATTTACACCAGGAATGAAGATCAAATTCTTTTATAGCACATCAAAACCCATTGGAAAAACATAACTTCTATTTCGTTTAGTGGCAACAAGTGAAAATTTGCCCGTGTTAGGGTTAAGATATTGGTAATGTCTGAGAACAGCTCTAGCATCAGAAAGATTTGTTTGATTTCATTCATTTTTTCCACACATGTTCTTATCATTATAATGAGTATTTTAAAGGAGTCAATATTTACTATAACCTTATAGAACCTGACCTAACCAACCAAAGAATCTACCTAAGCTTACCAAACTTTGTAGCCACCGTTCCCCATGTTATATTAAACAGAAAGTACAGTACTTATTTTGATATCTGGTACCAATGAAAGCAACTTTGTTGAAATGTCATGGTGTAATTTAAAAATTTTTGTGGCTGTGAGAGTATGCTCGGACCAGCAGGTCAGTTTAAAAGAAAACACGCGGAGGAAAATTTAAGGTAAATAATTAATTTCTTCCTGTACAAAGTACATAGACACATCATTTTTGTGTCATATGGTCAGTTTTTTACTGTGTTATACCCTGCAGTATCCCTCATCCTTCATGCCCTGCCTAATACAGGTGATTTATGATATTGGATAAACTAATAAAACAAAACAAGAAAATACTTAAAATGAAAATAAATAGTTGTCACCTCTTTTAAAAAACTTACTATAAAGATTAGAACATCTGTGGAAAAAATTAACGATATTGAAAATATTTTGGTGGTAATGCTGTTCTCAGAAATTACCAAATATCTTAATACTAAACGTTATTTTTAATGAATATAAATGTACTTTTTCCCACAGATGTTCTTATCTATGATCATAAATCACCTACTGTATAGTGGGCAGGGTATGAAGGATGAGGGAAATTACTGGGTAAAATACAATGAAAACCTGATCACATGACACTAAATTGATTTGTCTACGTGCTTTGTACGCAAAGAAATTTATTTACGGTAAATATTCTACCATGTTGACGTCTACTGCCATCCATTCTTTGTTTCCATGCAACAGCCGAGCTGTTCAGTCCAAGTTTACTCTCATGTCCACAAAAAAACATAAAATAATACCATTCTGCTGAAAGAAAGTTGCTTTCATTGGTACCAGACATCAAAGTAAGCACTATATTTTGTGTTTAATATGCGGGGGGTGGGGGGACTGCTCCCTGCTAGGAAGTTAGATAAGGTTAAGTAGGGTTCTCTGGTTGCTTAGGTCAGGTTCTATGCATTGTTGTATTGTTTTTATTACTTACTATCATCCAAAAAATATCTTTGGAAAAAATAAACAAAATTGAACAACTCCTAATGGTGTTAGCTGTCTGCTCCACCTTTACTGAATAAATTATTCTCTTTTTGTTTTTGCGTGTTTTCGGTGTTTAGGTCATGAGGGAGGCATAACGCGACAATACTTCTAGATGAAATTTTTGTACATGAGTAAATCTCCCAAGAGATTCGAACTGTCTTCTGATTGGTCACAGCAGAACATGTGAAACTCACATTAAAGAGATTTGAATACAATATCCCATGAAAATGTATTTAGCAAACTAAAAATCCACCAATATTGTTGTATCCCACTCTATGTGCATCCACCAGGTAAATAAGGTAATATTTATGTTAAAATAGATTTGATGTCGGTTAGGAAAGGTTAGGTCAGGTTCTCAAAGGTTCTATTGTTATTTTTGTTTGTGTGCATTTTAAACCCATATTTTCCCCCATCTTCAAAGCCTAGCCCTCTTTGAAAGGTTTCATTGTCATTGCTAGTGTTAAAGGGGCCATATCTCCATAAATATGAATTAGCGACAAAAATAAAGGCTATAGTTACTCTTTCAAATCACTATGAAAATATAAGAAAAACCTATTTGGTTACAAAATTCACATTATGGTATAAAGCGAATCTTTATCATTTATTCTCCCATAACACTTGGAATAACTTGAGGAAATTTTTCGGTAATGTGGTATTTAACAGTGGGTGCAAAATCACAAGCACTGTTTTTTACATTCTGTGAAACTGGGGAACTTTCTAAGGCATTAGATAGTATAACATTATATAAGTTGTTATTCATAATACTGTACTACTGTATGAACCAAACTAACAAATGCAAACCTAACCTGCCAAAAAGTGAGCTTCACCTAAACATTATTTACAATAGGTTAGGTAGATTAGTTTGTTTCATTTTATGAAACCCAAATCCAGGTCGTAAGTCGAAATGGTCGTAAGTCGAAAATGCGAAAATAGTACATAGAAAATCTAAAATGGGTGTCTCTTTTTCTTCTCAGCACCACAAAACTCTCATTTTTAAGCTTGCCAGCCATTTTACAGTGAATTACAAACGAAAATTTTGTCAGTACACAGAGCAGTCACTGACGTTGGGACTCGAAAATACGTAATTTGACAAAATTTTGGTACGACTGAGGCAGGTCGTAAGTCAAGTAGGTCGTAAGTCGGGGAGGAGCTGTATATATATATACAGGTAGTCCCCGACTTACGACTGCTTGGACTTAGTCCATCGGTACTTACGACCTGCTCTAACCTTACGACCGTCGGAACATACGACCGCAGCAGTCTTGACCAAAAATATTTTCAAATGACGCGTGCATTTTCTATACCGAAACATTTCGGTCCAGGCGAGAGCGTGGCACCCACGTGGGTACAGCTTCCACTTAGTGGAGCGCTTAGTTGGTGTTTGGCTATCGTATCCTATACTGATTGCGCTGTGAACTTTCGTTATTATCGTATTTAATTGACTTTATAATGACTGGAAAGCGTACAAGTGAGAGTGCTGGTGGTGTACGATATCACAGGTTTTAAGTGAACAATAATTTAACCATTCAGGAGTAAAAGCATTAGGGTAATTTTTCTGTCTCCACAAAATTTGTAATCTATATGTAAAAGTCAACCAATCATAAGATCTCACAAAAAAGAAAAGGGTGGTGTGTTTATATTCAGTTTCCTTAACTTTTATTGAATACAGTGTTGGGAATGAACCAAATGTACCTTTTAACAGTTTTAGCCCCTATCATTTACTGTATCCATGCAGACTAAATCTAATTCATGCTGTTCCTATTTTTGTTCATTTTGTAATTATTTGTTAAGCTCATACTGGCATTTCTCATGTAAAAAATTCTGCTCACTTAAGCTAACCAATCTTAGGCTAATATATACTGTACTGTATAACCTAACCAGTTATATTCTGTAAAGTATTGTATCTGATTTATTATTTCACTCCAATATATATTTTCCTAAGTATTAAATTTATTGTGGTCAACAGAGAATCCACTGCACATTTCCTGGCATGACAGCATGTGGGTTCCCCACCTTAACTCTTCCAACATCATGGAGTATTTTGGCGAGAGAACAAACCCTTTCTACTCAAGAGAATGTAACAATGAATTTATCAAAATGCAGCAGAACACAAGAGTGGACCAACTTCAGTAAGTATTTTAAGGATTCGTATTCTGTTGTGCATCCAAAAGTTTGTCATTTCACATACTGTAATTTTTTTTTAAATTATCTCTTGTTTTAAGATAATATAACATACTTGAAATTAAAACACCTCTTATATGTACATATTCCTCTCATAAACCAGATGTGTTTAAGTTCAGTCCCTCATAACCCTAGCTGACAAATCATTGGCTATGACTGCACTCTTGTTCAAAATGAAATCTTGTTAACACAAGTCACTCTATAGCTACATCAGAACTTTCATTTATTTTTCTTATACAGTACTGTGTCTCACTTGTTAACTCTTATTGGAGAAAAACAGTACAGTATGCCCTTAAAATTCGCGGGGTTAGGTTCTCAAAATGGCAGCGAATAACATTTGCTGACCAGGGGGGGTACATTTTTACTCATGTGCAAAGAAATGTATATTCCCTTTGTGTGTTTGCCCTCAGGACAATTACTGTATTTATTTTTCCTGTATTGTAGATACTGTACTCGTATGTGTGTTGTGTGTGTAGACACACACACACAAAACACATACAAATAAATAATACTGTACACTGTAATGGGAAAATCCTCTTACGAATAATCAGAAACAAGACCACAAAATTTATTAAAAATGTGAGAGTCTACCCTCAAGTCAACTCTGTGCTTTGAGGGTAGACTCACATTTTTAATACAGTACATTTTGTTGTCTTGTTTCTGATTATTTATGAGAGGATTTTCCCATTATTATTTATTTGTATGTGTTTTGTGTGTCTACACAAACACAATATATATATATATATATATATATATATATATATATATATATATATATATATATATATATATATATATATATATATATATATATATATATATATATATATATATATATATATATATATATATATATATATATATATATATATATATATATATATATATATATATATATATATATATATATATATATATATATATATATATATATATACAGTGGTCCTAAGTTAATCTAGATTTGCTAACGATTTACCTTCCATAAGATTCTTAACTTCGGTTAACGAGCAATCCCTCGATTAACGAGTTTTTTACGAGCCGACTTCAACATGTTTTCGCTTGCATTTGGCGGTCCACCAGCTGTAGTATTAGTCCGCCAATACAGTAATCGGTTTTAGGGCTTAAATTCCTTACTATTTTAGTAAATATCAAGAAGTTTATACTATTCAATAATTTTAAAAGTTTAATATTAACTTTTTTAGTCATTTTAACAATTATTGAACATAATTGAAGGTAAAGAAACTAGTTTCTGGCGTGCCATCCAGCCTGTTAACACACCAGACAGGCGTTAGTCTCTCTCTGTTTTCAGTGGAGGTAACATCTTGCTTGAGACTCTCTTCAACTAAACGCTTTTTTTCTGTGTTTCCAAGCAAATTATTGGTCATTTTGAAATTTATTTTACATATTGACAATATATAATGCAGTGCAGTGTTGATTTAAAGAAAATAATCTTGAATTACACCAAGAGAACTAAAATTTTATGGGTGAAATGGTGCCATGGGGTGACTTCTCTTCCACCCCAATGCCTTCTCTTCTCCCTTCTCCTCCACCCCCATTCTAATTCCCATCATCATCATCATCCAGGAGCCTTCTACATACACACCTCAAAGTAAGTGTACTTTTCTACCTTTTTTGTTGAATTTAGGCAATTTTCGGTGAGCTGGAACCAATTACCCAAAAACCCATTGAAACAATGGTTTCGGTTAACGAGCAACCTGCTGGAACGGATTGTGCTCGTTAACCGATTACTGTGTGTGTGTGTGTGTGTATATATATATATATATATATATATATATATATATATATATATATATATATATATATATATATATATATATATATATATATATATATATATATATATATATATATATATATATATATATATATATATATATATATATATATATATATATATATATATATATATATATATATATATATCTTGATAAAATCACACGGGAAAATGGAAACAACGGAGTACCTTAGCTTTCGTCTTTATTCAAGACATCTTCAGAGGCAACTAGATTACATGGACAGAGAGAGGCTTAAATATACAGGGTGACCTAAAAACATGAGGTCAGGTCATAATGATGACATCCACTAATCCCCACACCAACACAACCGTAGAGGAGCTTAAGAGAAGGGTGGTGACGTGACTAGACAGGTCAGGTCAGAAAAAAGGGACCCACAAAATAACTGTCATACATCAAGATCAAAGGTTTTCAAAGCAGTTTTAACCTTGGGCCACTGACAAATAAATTTATGTAACATATTATCAGTTTTGAACTGACCATCACTAAGGTTTATTGATTTTAATTCCTTAATCAAACTAGCTTCAACCAGAAGTCTTTCTGTGACACAAGATGATTTGAATACTTCCAAGCTTTTTTCCCAAGCAATGGGGTGATTATTATTCCTAACATGAACGAACAAGGCACTGCTTTCAGATGCAGTTCTGATATTATACTTATGTTGTTTGATTCTGAGCTGCAGTGTTTTTCCTGTCTGACCTACATAATTACAATTACATTGGCTACATGGAATACAATAAACACTTCCATTTACATTCAAACTTGGGCTATTCCTTATTAACATATTGGTAATGGTTGAGTCATACTTGAAAACAACATTAATATTTAGAAGCTTGAGGGACCGAACTAAAGGGACAAATTCATCACGATAGGGCAGAGTCAAAATATTCTTAAGTGTAGGAACTTGTCTGGTTACAGAGGAATGAAAGGATTTTTTAGCCCTTTTAAAGCAACGATCAACAAACACAGAAGGGTACCCAAGTTTCTGTGCACAGATAAAGTATTGATAAAGTATTACTTTCTTTTCACTCAGCCATATGCAAGGTGTGGAATACATATTATTGCACACCCAGGAGCCAATTCTCTATATCATCCGGAAGCAACAACGTTACAGCCCGACACAGGTCAGCCCACTCGCCAACTACCACATCATTGGGGGACAAGTGTTTCAGACGCCAGACTTGGGCTCTGTCATCAATTCCAGAACAGTAAGTTGGTGATTGAATGGTAGTTCTGTTAGACAAGGCAGGATGAAAAATTAGGCAACTGAAACTTTATATCATGTCAAACTGAAAATTATTTAGGAATTTGTCATAGGAATTAGAAAGCTATGTTATATTCCCGTTAGCTGGAATAATTGGTGCAGAACGGTTCCGGGATTGAGAGATTTCTAAGTACTGTATGGAGGTGAATTTTCTCATCCCTAGAAAAAATTGCACACGGACAGACACAGAGCTGTATTTATTTACACAAACACCACTATACAGGTACAATATACTATAATGTAAATAAACAAAATATACTACTGTGTACACTATACTGTACTCGCCAGCAGATGCTGTCAGATTGAGATTGTGATGCAGGCAGGCTAAAGGGTGATATGATGATACAGGATGGCCTGCCTTTGTCCTGTACCATTTACTGTTGCAGGTGTTGCTAACTGTCATTCTCCTCTCCTTCCTTGAAGCAGGAATTGTACACACCCTTTACACATTAGCCTACAGTAGGCATACTGTGCACTGTCCTCTCTATAATGTATAGTACTGTATATATAATACTTTCACACTTACTGAATGTACAGTATTGTATACGTAACTGTAATCACTTTTTATGTCTTAACATTGCTTTAATGATATTCTCGGCTAATTATATGCTGGTACAGTATGGCAATGTTCAGTCAGAAACACTGATCTAGGGACAGGGTAAGCATCGAAATCTGGCATGTGAAGAGCCGGGTATTTGAGGGTCTCAAGCCCTCCATCCCCTTTCCCCATAAAACACTAGTTTGTAGTTGAAACTGTTGCAGCTCTTAAACTCCGCCCACTCTCGTGGCTCAATCGCGGTGAGGTGGTAAGAATCCTCGTCCATTTTCCTAATTGATATTATAGTTAGAAGTGCAAATTTGATTTCATTGTGGTATTTTAAACTTACTTTTCTCTTTATTGAAGATTTTGAGTGTTAATGGTTTAGTAACCTGTCATCTCCCTGACAGTTTTTCATTGCTATCTGGCTACCCGTATTCCTCCCTATCCGTAATGCAGTGTTACTCCTATTTTGGCCAAGGATTTCTTCATAGGTATTGCATTTCCTTTTTTAAGAGTTAATTTAAAAGACATGGCAGAGAGAGGATGGGGGCATTGCCAGAAGTGATCCAGCAGAGGGCAATAATTGTTGGTCTCTAACTTGGACGACAATTGATCTCTGAGATCAGAAGAGATTTGAACGTCAACAGGAAGACAGCGCAGCGATGGGTTAGGTGATACGAGGAAGAGGACAGTGTCATGACATGCCCCAAACCTGGTCACCCTCATGTAATGAAGGAGGCAGGGCATGAATTTGTGTTTGTAAACTGGATAAAAGAATCCCTTAAACATTTACAGTCCAGTATATGAATAATTAATTGATCCCAAACAGACACTGATGGGGGATATATTCTGTTGTGCTACTATACTGTACAGTACTAATGGTATGGTTAAAGAAATTTGCTTTAAGTCGAGGTAGCTACAGGCAATGACCATTATACGAGGGGGTTAGGGACCCCAAAAGCCATCGCTAATTGATCAATCATACTGTATACAGGGGGTACTGTATTGATATTAATAACTTCCGGGGAAAAATAGGTTCCGTTCCTGAGCCCCTGAGGAGCCCAAACAAGTTTAGATCTTGATGCTATAATGGTTTAATAATGTCTAAATAACTCAAATAATATATACACATAAAATCAATAAATTTATACAAAATTTAATTTACCTAACATGAATGTGTGAGTGTGTGTGGACTTGTCGGGTCGCCAAGTTAGATGTCACCATAGCTACACTGCCTTACCTCTCCTCCTACTGTCCCAGGTGAAAATGTGTTATTGCTATTTTTCAACCTGTAATTTTGAATAGATATACTGTATATATTTTGATTCATTTTGTTTTACTCTGTTACATGCACACATAATTGTTCATATAGGGGAGGGGGAAGGAGCAGCAGCATGGGGGATCTCTCAGCTGTTCTCTGTCTCTTGTCCTAGGAAAATATTGTCAAATGGCAATGCAGTATTTTTTCTTTTATTTTATTTATTATTTTTATTTATTTCTCACAGTTACTGGTACATCGCTGGGGATGGGCAGAACCTCCCATGTGGGTTGCATGTTTTAACGCCATTCTGATATTGTGTCATGATTTCTTCAAATATTGCGAGTTATTGCACGTCACTTTTTCATAGCAGTGACAATGAAGGAAAGGCCGTCACATAGTGGAAAATGGTGTTAATCTTTTTACATTATAAAACTGATAGAGCACATATTGATCTATTGTACAGTGGGGTATGCTATAACGAACGTAATTGGTTCCAGAACCTCGTTCGTTATAGCATTCGTTCGTTATAAGATTAATCCTTTCCAGGCCCCCAAATACAACCACTTAACACTGAAAAAATTATGTGGAAAATGTAAAAAATACGGTACTTTATCTTACCTTAGTGTTATTCAGCATGCAGGTACCCCTAAACACTGGCACATCACTATCACTTCCACTGGGAGTCTTGGCTTTAAGGTCCTCAAACAATTGTTTAGCCTTCTCACAAATTATAGCTTCACTAATGTTACCACCTGCCATTTCTTTCTCCTTTATCCACACTAAGTAAATTTTCCATCTCTTCAATCACATTACACTTTGCTTTGCTAAGTCTAAAGATTCCCTTAGCCACTTGCACAGTTTTTAACTCCTCTTTATTCTTCAAAATCGTACATATAGTCGATTTAGCCATCCCATATTCATCACTAAGTTTCGCAATGCTTCTTCCATTCTCACGTTTCTTTACAATTTCTTTCTTAGTTTCAAGGGTTATTAGCTTTCTCACTCGCTTTGGACGACTCATTGTTACAATTGTATACTTGTATAACAAAATAGTTATACAAATAACGCGAATTTCCACATCAAAAGACGAAATTTCAACAATAACACTGGTGCACTGGCTACACAATGAGACAAAGATGGCGCCTGACGCTCTTGTTGTGGTCGCGGTACAACAATATTCATGCGCCAGGCGAAGTAGTCCCGTATTCATCCGCGTTCGTTGTAGGAGTTGCGTTCGTTATAGCATTCTCAATTTTATAGGTAAAACCGTTCGTTATAGGAATATTCGTAGTAGGATCCGTTCGTTATAGCATACCCCACTGTATAATGGTTATTGCCTGTATCCAAAGAGGCTGTGGGGGACACTAAAACAGGAATTTTTTATTTATTTTTTTTAGCTTGGATCTCCATGTTTTTATTCGCTCTTTTGTTTCATTAACAGTTAGCTGCTGTGAGCAACTTGAACAGTGCTTTCACGGAGATGCAGTCATTCTCACAATACCACCCATCAAGAGGATACTGGTGGCAGTTCAGGAACCAGGTGGAACAAACTGAACAGCAGAAGAAAGAAAAAGAGAAGAAGGTAGTGCAGTGTTTTGATATTTTGTTGGTGTTACATTATCTTGTATGTTTTTCTTAGCTATCTCGGGATGGGTTCTCATATTTTTTTTAGGTATTTTTACCTACCAGTCAGTTTCATTCGAGGTGTACTGTTGTCACCCTTTTTCCATGCTTGTGTGTGTGTGTGTGTACATTCATGCATATACAGAATGTAATAATAATAATAAACTGCAGTATTAAAAATAATTAATAGTTAAGTGAAAATACAGCAACCAAGCTGAAATTATACAACAGACATAAATGGTATATATGGTATCTTTTATAACATATAGTGAATGGGTGGAAAGGGTCTTTTAATAAAAAAAATCAGTGTTGTTAAGTGTAACAAAGAAAAAGAAAAAAGATTGTTACCATGGTTAAATGGAACTGATCTTGTAGTGATTAGTACAATGGTTGTATGAACTTGATAAGGTTGTGGTGTCAGACAGCAATTTGCGGATGGGGTGTGATTGAGGAGTCTGGTGGCAGCAAGTGATGGTGGTAAGGATTATTTAGCAGCTGTGTCCCAAACTGATAGATGAGGGCTTGATGATGACCAGAGATACTTGAGGGAGCCAGTGTACTTAGCACCTCTTGATATGTGGTCTAAGAAGGTCAGATAATAATCTTCTGTACTGTATGTAGAAGCATTTGTTGTGTAACAATTAAGGAAGGAAAAAGACCAGGCAAGGGAAGCATAGGTAAGTTTAGGAAGTACGAGCATTGTGTAAATATTCTTCAGTTCAGGAAGTCCCACAAGCACCTTCAGACATCATAAGGTGTGGAGATGATAGCTGGAAGATTTAACATTTGTATTGATGTGTACTTGCCAATATTGTCTTGCCCAGAGCCTTAACACCGACTCATTTGCAGGCTGGACAAGGGAGACGGGAGGAACCAGCGTCAGTTTTCCAACACAGGCGAGTAGGCTCCCTGCTAGAGGACCTCCAGGCTAAGTTCCCCTATAAATTCCCATCTCAGGCACAGCAGCCAGCACAGCAACCAACACAACAGCCAGCACAGCAGCCACAGCAGCAACAACAACAGCAGCAACAGCCATCACAGCAACAGACTCCACAGCAGGACACAATTAAGACAGGTACTGTTTTACAGCCATATGTAATTTTCCTTGACTGATAAGAGTAACACTGTAGCCTGTTTTTAAACTTTTATTTAAGTGAAAAATTAATAGCATTTAATGATATGAAATGATGATACAAGTAATACATAAAAAGACTTGAATTTAACTCATCAGAATTGTATGGTAGCAAATACTTTACTCAGGAAAAGGGTGGAGAGAGTCCCTGTTAAACACATGTGACGGTTTACATACTGTCAACACAAGCAGTATGTCACATTAACTGGTGAATTAATATGAACCTAAGAATATCACATAAGAAAGGAGGTTGAGGATCACACGTTTTACTCACTTGCAGGTGTAAACAAGACTGTGAAAACAAAGGCTGTATAAAATCCACCCCAAATTATTTTTGTATTAAAATGCTTTAAAATTAAACTCCTTTCAGAAAGGGTCATAATACAGCACAGTAACAGATTTCCTGTGGGCAAATTTCTGTAACTTGATGTTCTCAACTTGGGGGATCACTGTACAGTATTGGGAAATATATATAATAGTTAATAAGTTTTATGAATTTCATAAAATAAAACATAATTTGAGTAATGAAAGGTGTTCATTTTGTGTTTGTTATGGTTGAGTATAGCTATAAGGGCGCGGAACCATATTATGGAGCCCGGAAGGTTTTATCATAAAATTGTGAAATGTTTGGGATTCTTTGTCAGAGTGAAATCAATGAAAATATGTAATAACTTGATACAACTTTATAGTCAGAGGGAGAGAGGAACTGCACGTTTGTCCTGAGTCTGTCATGTTCAGGATGTGTGTACTGTACAGTATATGCATATTCCAAGAGTAAATGTAAAAAACATGTAACTAGTTACAGTTAGATGTGTAAAACTGCAAATAACTGTACCTGTGCAGTATAGTATATGAGATTTTTTCTTGAATGTACAGGTAGATTCAAAGTTTAGGTGCCCTCCACTATATTAACAATGACAAATGTGGCTCAGAACCTACAAAGGGTAGGAGACCATTGCTATAAGGAGTACAGGCAGTCCCCAATTTACAAAAGGATCCCGTCCCTAAAAATCTTTCATAAATCAGACCACACATTCCCATGAACTCCCATTATAAAACCTAAGTTCTTTAATCAAATAAAAAAATGCTTCCCTAAAACCTTTCTTAACTTCTAATAATCTTACCTTTAATTGTAGTCTCTCCACAACTTACTGGTAGAGGATTTACATCATAAACAAGTGCTGACTAAGGGGGAGGACTGTGTTACAGTATATTCTTACTTGTACATCTCCTCCAAATAAGAGTTGATTTTTATGGTCTTTGTATCATTTTGTTTTAAGAAAATATGTGTATTATTGTGAAAATACGTCAACAACGTCATACAGTATTTTATCCAGGATTCCTTATGCTTTGCCATTTTCCTTGAATACTTTGACTCTCCAGGGGCCACATCATTTCAAAGAACTCATTTTTGAAACCCCAAAAACTTTTGAATATTGAGAAAAAATGTCAGTAATGGAAGGTAAACTAACTGTACTAGTATGGTGTCTACCATACTGAGTTGAGGCAGGAACGGGATGGTATTGTTACAGAGGTCTCACTCGTGCCGTTGATTGGCCTAGCCGCTCATCTTCCCAGGTTGTAACTGATATTCAAAGAGAACACACAGCTAGCACCCCACCCACACTCTCCACTATACACCCCTTTCCAAAAAATTTAATTTTTCTGGATAATAATGACATCCTTGCATCTTGGGTGAACATTATTGTAGGCACCATGCATAAGGAGCTGGACAAGACAGTAACAATTATATTTTAAGTTTAGAAGTTCCATGTACAGTTATGCTGTAGATCAAAAGGGTAAGTTTTTTCTAGGGTCAGCAGAGAACCAGGAACACAATATTATTACGCCTGTAGTCCATTTTTCTCATTATTAGAGACTAAAGCTGCAATTGGTAAAAAAATATTATAAATTAAACTTAATTAAATTTAACCAGTCATAACCTAACTTGAATTAATGTTTATATCTTCCTTTGCAGAAGACAACAAACCAGATATAAAGACAGAAATTAAAACTGAAGTAAAAATTGAGATCAAGACGGAACCATCATCTCAACCACCCACGCCACGCTCCGTCAAGCCTCCACCGGAAAAAAGACAACGCACTGGACCGTAGAACGAGGAAAGAATAAACCACACTTAAAACTTTATTAACTGGTATATTTTAATAATCCTAAATGTATAACATTGGAAAGATAAGTTGTAGAAGGTAATGCCAAGATTTTATTGCATTGGCATACTTAAAGGAGTGTGATAGCATTCTAGTTATGACAATATTGTACCTGTACTGTGTTATTGCGATTTTATATACTTTTGGGTTACTGTACGGTGTAAAATGATCATTATATAAATACGAACATAAATTTTGAGTACCATAGATACCAAGATTATTCAGTACACCAATTTGTCATATTTTACATTTATTAGCTGTGAGAGATTCTAAAGGCAGTGGCACAATGGGCACTTTCCTCCAAACATGTTTGGCAAACACAGTTCGGCCAGCAAAACAAAGAAATGTTTTGCGTCTCTGGGATGTTTTGTTGTTTGTCATGGATCCTGTTACATACAGCTGAGGCCTTGCAGGATTGTGCTATAGTTCTTCAACTGCTGAAGCAAGTGAGGCTTCTGCAAAAGCTAAAGAAAAGACAATGGGTGCGTCGTGAAGTTTCTTTAAAAATGGCGGCAGCTGGCTAGTCAAAGAAGACTCTAAATAAGTTTTAAAGTGACGAATAAATAGAAATATGCCATTGTTATATTTTTAATTATTTTTGTGAAATTATTTATTTCAATTTTTTCTTGAAATTATATGAAGCTCATTTGAGCACTAATCCAGCCAGCAAAGATCCCCACCAAACCGTTGTCCATTTCTCGCAACAGCAGAAATTCTGCTGCTTGTTGGGCCGTCAGGTCAACAGGTAGCAAAACAGGCAACATGTTTGGAGGAAAGTGTCCAGTGTGCCAATGCCTTAACTCTCCAGGACTGTTTACCATAACAATAGATGAGGAATATTTTAATTTCATCAGATTTTTGGGTAAATATACATAATTTTTGTCATTTATTTATTTAATTTTACTCTTACATGCACACAATTGTTCATACAGAATGTGGCGTTCCCTCACAGCTCTGCTGTCTCGTGCTGGCAACAAGATTGCTAAATGGCAACGCAGTATTTTTTTTTTTTTTTTATTATTATTATTTTTATTTGTTCCTAACATTTACTGGTACAATATATGTTATTTTATGTACAAAGAATTGATTCCATACGCAAACCAACCTCTGGGCAACTTGACTGTTTAAAAGCATGTGTGTGTCTTTACTGTTCATTTGATCTATGGTGTAATTAATTGTACAATGTAGTGAAGAGAGCAAACACCTACAAGTATAGTATTGTGTGAAACAAATTTGATCAGTCAACACAGTAGGTGATCAAGTTTCCAAAATAAGCTAACATTTTAAGAAAAGCTTCACATCTCGATTTTGGCTGTAAAATACATGATAATACTGTATTGTAACCAGGTTACCTCAGTGAAAAAATAAAGAAATTCTGGCAGACAAGATACAGAACTTTTCAGTAGTTTATGCTCAACCTCATAGCAGTCTTCCAGCCCTGGGCAGTGGATTTGTTGGACTTTGATATTGTCAACACTAGAAAACGTATGGTAATACTGTACTGTATCAAGCTATCTAATAAATTGAGAAAATTACTGAAATCTTTCTAGAAAACCGTCATAGAAAATCATAGACACATGAAATACAAAGATGAGCTACAAGATAACTGTTATATCTTGGGACTGTATAACCTAATGGATCACCATATAGTAACTAATCCATTGAGAGAAATAAAAGCTCAAAATTTCTTACGCAAAACATCCGATTATTTCTCTTCCTGACAAGCACTTGAGCTTTAACTTAACTTTTTATCTCACCAGAGGTAATGCTTTACCAGAACTAAATGATTAACCACAATTGGCCCATACTCAGGAATGTATGTCCCAAAACTTTCTACTGTACACCATTATTAATGATATTTTGCTCCAATCACTTTCAAGCACAGCACCAACATGACAATGTTCAAGAAAATTTCTTATTTATATGAGGCATTTTGTGAGACAACCATTTTCCTTTATGTGTATTGTTTATAACTGAAAACTAACTAAAATAAATTATTACAGTGATTCAAAATAAACAGTCACTGATGCTTCAATTCAGCATGATGTTACTGCATTGTCCTTCGCTGTCGCAGATGATCTGCACGACTTCGCCCTGTTAAAAATGCAGGAAAAGTATCTAAATGCAAATCTTTCAATATTTTAATACAGTAATATCTCCAGTGCACTAACTTTATCCCAAAGAAATAACATCTAACTGAAGTTTGTAATGACCTCTCTTTTAATCAGACCCATGTACAGTATTTGTGCTTATGTATCCATACCTATGACTAATTTGTGTACAAGCTAGAGGAACAAAGGTATCTGCACTTTACATTTTAAATAATTATCAGCAAAATATTCTTAAGAAAACTCACATATACAAATTCTGAAGACTGTGTACACATTTTTCAGTATTTCAAAATAATAGTTAATCACAATTTTCTAAAACAGCCACTATAGCATACTGTCAATAAGAAAAAGGTAAAATCTACTTGGTAAAATTCCATTATATTAATTAAAAAATATCCCATCAATCTACTGGGTATCCATATCATGTACACACTATCCTACATTCATAACAAACAGATTCACCCAAAAGTTGTAAAAGCTGCTTTTGCTGAGACGTGTGATACAGGTAACATGTACAGTACAGTACTGATAAGAGTACAGTTAGAGTTGCTGTTCTGAGTACTGTACATATAAACTGGAAAAATTTAAAGAAACAAGCAGGAGAAATATAAGGAAACAATTACACAAAGTACCCTGTATTAGAAAATAGTAAAATGATGATAATAGGGTCATTGTGGAGGTTGGCAAACTAGGAATGTGTTGTTTTAAAATGTGGCCAAAGAACCAATACGTATTTAGATAAATATATATTCCTTAATGTCCCTCACCCTCTCCACAGTGAAACTATGAGCATTAAAGGTAAGCCACTCCACTACAGTACTTGATGACACAGCAAGTGTTCATAAACACTATGCTGTACAGTGTTGTACTGTATGTTGATCATTCTGACCTTCACCTTAGCTGAATTAAATTATTTACTTTTCAATGAACTTTATCATTAGACCATCATTTTTTTTTTACCAAGCCCCTCATACAGATTTCACATTACAAGTAAAATAATTGTTGTTGTATTATTAAATGTTTTAATCATTCAATGGTAAAGAAGAATGTGAGAGAAGGCCCCAAGATTGCTTCTGTCACAACTATGAACTATGCAACTGCTAGTTCTTATGCCCTGGTCATCATCTCTATAAAGTTCCAGACTATCAGGTAGGTAGCATCACTCCCATCAGTCACTGTGATAGCATCCCATGACCTTTCCACTTAGAGGACAGCAGTCTCCATCCCCTTACACAAGAGAAGAACTGCCCCCAGGGTATGGTATACAATGTGATAGGTGTTTGTGGGTCCTGGGTTAAGTTGTCAAATTTATAAGAATTTTTACATATGAGAAAAAGGTACACTTTGTTTTAATTTGTAGCAGATAAAAGGTTAATTAAATTCTACATCTTCACCAACAAGGACAAAGGATGAGGACACACACAGGTATCTACATTTTCACCACTGAGTGTATTATGGTTGAACATTGTCACTTTAAAACTGATTAAACGAGTAAACACCACCATTAAAGCCATACGATGAATATCTAACAATAACCAAATGAAACTGTTACCAAAGCAGTGAATGACTGACATGATATACACAACATGCAAAAGAGAAAATAACTGACTGCCTGAAGACTTTACTATTAATATGCATTTTTTAATCTCTTCAGTATACTACTTCCCATTTTCTTGCAGTCTCCTCCAAGCATTTTTATTTCAGCACACACTCATACTAACTTTCATTCCTACACCCCATTCTTTCATTAGTCCCTGGTCTTCTTCCTTTCCTTCCTTCTATTCACTTCCTTCATGTTCATATCTGCACTCACAAGTAAATAGGATGTTAGTTGGTATTGAAACTCCATTATTGAAACAGTTTTAAATCCATGAGTTGGGTATGTTTTAAAAACATGATATACTACTATACATGTTATTGCCAATATTTTTACTTTTACATCATTGTAGCATTCACAATATTGTCTTAAAAATATCTTCCAATTTAGTCAGTACAGTAATGTTTTAGATAAACAAAATATGCTGTCAGACTAAAAAAAAATAGCAAAAATATTTTAGAAATTGATGGTCAGATTTTCTAGGGAAGTGTAGCACAAATGGCCTTCAATTTTACTTGGGCCACAACTAACAACATGCACTAAACTAATGTACCTTATGTTAAGGCTTTTGGTAATTCAAGATCATCCAAAGAAGGAACTAAAATTCATCAAATCTTGCTTCAGATCTACTCCAGCCAAAGAGCTCCCAGAACTTGATGCAGCCAATAACTTTGAACTTGATTCACTTTAGCTCAAATTGTTGTCTATAAGTGTTAACAACCTGGTATATAAGTTTCACTAATGATATAATGTAAACAGCAACCACTTGGCAGAGGGTAATGACTATCTCTAATTGATAATGAATGATCCCCCACCCCCCAACAAATATATATGTATACAGTATGTAATCATAATCATAAGATGGTACCTACAAAAAACAGAAACAAATACAGTACCGTATATCTTTATTTTCAGTGACTTCAGGCAGAATCATTCTTGAAATTAAACTTGGCCTGCATTTCATAATCCTCTCCATTTACACAAAATACAAAAATTATACTGTGACAAGAATGTTTATAAGATATGGTGAGGATTTTAAATGAAAAATGATGAACCAGAAATTTGAGAATTTAAGTACAAATACTGTATTTGGGATTGGTACTGTACTGTCCAAACAAGACAGAGTGAAGAGTAAAAATATGATGGGAATTTTATTGGATAAAAACACGATGGGCTCTTTGGGGAAGATCACAAATTGAAAAATGTACGTAATTCATTGTTTGTTTGTCTCATACATAAAGCAAAAGTTGAAGAGCAAAAAATGCAGACATTATGACACTTATCACAGGAGGTGGGGTTAGTAGAGTTACTCTTTTTATTTCTCCCATGGTTTTTGTACTCTTCCTCACCTCTTTACCCCTTAAAAAAGTATCATTATCGTGTTAAACCATTCATCTGATACTTTCCCTGTTCCACATGTCATTTGACAAACTCTTGATAGGTGGATGCTTATTGTTTTCTTATCTCCATGTTTCAACATCTTTCCTTTAACACTATCCACTCCTGGACCTTTCCCTAATTTTCATCTGCTTACTCTCATTTTTATCTATTATTTAAATATTTCCTTCCTCCCTTCTTCCACCCCCAATCATAAATTACTTGCCACTTTTCCATCATTAAATCTTTAAAATATAAATTCCACCCACTTAACCTCTCTCCTATTTCCAGCCAGTTAAAAGCCTTAATATGTTTGTGGGTTAAACAAAATAATACAGTTGATCCCAGCATATCTTTGAAATTCAGTGCAAATAATTTGTTTAAACTGAATTTTTCATCAGCAATATCGACTTATGATCAATAACAGGTAAAATTTGTATAGTTAAAAAATGTGCAAAACTACCCTTCAAATACTGTATGATGTTGATACAAAAATAAGTGGTTTTCTAAGTACAGTACAGAAACATTCATATATACTGTATTATAAAATAACCTGATTTCTAGTCAATAATGTAGACTACAGCTTCATTCTTACTCATACCTTATACAAACCTCGGTAATGACATAAGAGCCAGGTAATGGCCCATGGTATCAGCAGTGTTAGCAAGATGGTCAACAATTCAACCTTTTCCTGGATATTCAGGAACTTCTTATATTGACTGTTGAAATTCTGTATCAGGTTAACATATTTGGGCAGAGGGTGATGACATACAGTATTACAAAACAAGATACAGTACCCCCCCTGTATAGTATACTATATGTACATCAGATGAAAAATACAATACAGTATGCACTCATGACACAAAAAAAGAGAGTCCTGTATAGGGACTGGACGGAAGTACTGTACAGTAAACTCTCGTTAACTTGGAATTTCATATAACTCAACATGGATATGGTCTCGGAATGTATTATAGTATAACGGGAAATTCTGAGATATATAAAATTATCTGGGAAAATATTTCAGCTTATCTGGCCACCTGCATCACCTACCATACCTGTGTCACCTACCATGCATCTGTGTCACTTACTATGATGCTTCATTCTTTGCCTGCAGTGCTGGTAAGTGTTACTTTTTTACATTTAGCAATTACATGTACTGGGTACACATATATGGGTCGATAATTGTTTCTTGTATTTTTGTAAGAGGGGGAAGTGCCTTGATAAGTCGGAATTTGGGATAACTCGGCAAAGTCAGAGCCCCATGTACCGAGTTATCAAGGGTTTACTGTAAAAGCATATACAAACAATGTCCAACTTTGTGCCTTCAAGTGTAAGGCTTAGGGAGAAAATTTACCACTCATATTGAGTAAAAAAAATTCTGAAGATTTCTTAAATTACCAAAGATAAACAAAAATGTGAGAGATGCACAACTGCTTGTTCTCTTCGTGCATGAGTGAATGCAACCAAGTACTGTTCACATTAAACATGTTCAAGTGGAGGTATTTCTGTGCCATTAGGCGTGAACAGAGTCGAGTGTGGCAACAGTGACAGCACACACGGCTGCCAGACATACTGTATGAGTGTGTAAAGCAACACCAGCTGAGAGGTGACTCGCCACGTACAGCTGTACTGAGAGCTGCCAAGAGCGTATGAGACTGAGGAAGAATTAACTTTTTCCACAGATGTTAAAACCTTAGGCGGCTAAAAATAAAACTTTCATTTGGTGTATAAAAACCCTGAGGGTGTCAAGTCTAGGCAAAAAATTACAGTAGGTTCAGTGTTCTTAGGTAGCTCGAGTTGGAAATCCCACAGACCTTCTCGAATTTACCCCCTTTCAATATAGACATTACAGACCCCGCCCATCCCGGAATTTCGGCTAAACCAGACAGGCCTTACCCCCAATTAGCCGGATTAGAGGAAGTTTACTGCATTTGGTTAAAAATAAGACTACTAATAAATATTGTAATCCCAATCAATACACAACATTACAGATTAATCCACATCACTTT